ATTTTTACTACCAACACAAAATCGTTCCAATTTTCCGTTAATTTCTGTTTGTGCAGTTTTGGTTTCTGAGATATTTAAAATAATTTTTTAGGTCATCCAGAGTTCACCATCCCCCCATATTGCTCCAAAACAAACCAAAGTGGGTTACTTCGTTAGTGCTCCGTTTAAATTTTTGTTTGTGCAGCTTTCGTTTGCGAGATATTAAAAGTTATAATTTTGGCCGATGACATCACCATCACCCCACCTTGCGCCAAACAAACCAAAGTGGGCTACTTCGTTAGTGCTTTGTTTGAGCAGTTAAAACTGTCGTTTGTGCAGCTTTCGTCTTTGAGGTATTAAAAGTTATAATTTTGCCGATGACGTCACCGTCACCCCATCTTGCTCCAAAACAAAATGAAGTGGGCTACTTCGTTTAAATTCTTCATATTTTCAGCTGTTGTACAATGTGTATCTTCTTTTGTTTTGAACTTCAATAAAGATTTAGAACAAGAAGAAAATTGTCTAATTTCAAGAAATGTTTTAAGATAGCAATGTTTTCTCTCGAATATAGCGGTCTCTCCAGAATAATTGACTCCTGCCAATAAAGGACATGCAGCCGTGACCCTAACGTAACGTGTACAACCTGTACAACTGTGCTTTGGTTTCGGAGGTGGTCTGAACAATTATATTCACATTGTTGGCTTACTTTGTGCTGATTATGCAGCAAACGGGTAAAAATATATTTTTTAAAATCCATAGCTAATATCCTAGTTGCTTGAGCAAAGTTTTTGCAGAGTAAACCGAAAGTGCGTCACTGGTTCAACAAAGTTCATCCAAGTAGTGTACTTGGACAACAATACATCTCATTTACAAGCTTTAAGTTGTCCAATCAATTCAATCACCCTTGCTTTTCTTCATGTGGAGAATGGAAGATCAAAGATGTATTCAAAAAATGTAAAGAGAGGTCCAAGTTGGGATGGATAAGACAAGTTACACAGCCAGTACAGTTTAAAAAGCTTGTCCACCGCACATGTGAGTCCATCGTTTAGGGGGATGGTGACTTTTGTCATTTTTCGCAATGATGACATACTCCTTTGATGACCGTGGATTACCGATGCAGATGAGCTGGGGCTGATGGTTTGTTGATGAAGTACAGGAATCATTCCAAAGGGATGCTATTATTGTTCCAGTCTTAGAAACAAAAAAAAAAGAAATAAAACAAAACACATTTGTTGGTGAAATGATCAGGAATTCAATGTAATTTCTGTTTAAAATAACATTTATCAAAGGATAAACACCTACCGGCACAAAATCTAGAAGGTGTGTTATTGTATCCTTGATGCTACATTGTCTTCCACCAACAGGGGGCAGAAGGTGTGTTAGTACCACGAGTATTCTGTAACAAGCCTCCTCTGAAAGTGAACAAAAACCAAAACATTAAAAACGTCTTCTTATTGCTGTGATACACAGTAAATGTACAAATCCACATTTACAAAAAAAGAAATTATAAAGTGTCAACAAAAAAACAATACTTACTAGGTCATGTTTAATGAATGTACTAAATCTGGTAGCGTTTCGGTTGTATTTAATGTAAAAATTTCAGCCCGGCTGCATCAGTACACACGTACCTCATGCTAAACACTTTTTGTGGAATGTTACCATGGAAGTTATGATTAGTTAGGTTTTGTTTTTTTCTCGCTACCGGAGTTTTAATGCAGTTCAATTTAAGGACGTCCGCGAACAGCCCATCTTAATATTTTAATTAATTTAGAAATGCGCCGTTAAATACAACCACATAAATTTTACTTGATCAAAACTCCGATATGCCACTCAACGTCAGTTCCACTCGAAAGTGCTAACATGGCTAACATCTTACAATTACTTCCATGTCTTTTTTTTTTTTTTTTTTTTTCGCCATCTGAGCTTTAAGGCAGTTCGCTAACAGCCCATCTTAATTTTTGAGTTAGATCAGTAAAACAACAGTAAATATTACTGTGTCAGACCGACAACATCCGTTAAGAGGACCAACCGTTAGTGTCTCTTTCACTGCCAAAGTGAATTTACAGAACCGTTAACTTACACGTTTACTTACAGAAAAGTTAACAGCTTTATTGTAAGCTGTTAACTTCCAGTTTACAGAAAAAGAGGCATTGTAGATTACAAAGGCTTCCAATTTTAATTTAAAGCTAAATTATTTGACAATATTTACACTTATGTACAATATTTATAATATTGAGATGTTTTCCCGAAAATGAATTGCAGGTGTTATTTAAAAAAAAGAAATTACGTTTTGTCTATAATGTACAATTGCATCTAAAAATTCTCACTGCAATATTCATCATTTATTCCAAAACTTCAACAACCTTTAATTTTAAAATGTTACTCTCTTCAATAAACTTTGGACCAAAAAAAGGACAACTGTAACAAATGATAAAGTGGTGACCCCATCTCCTGTGCACAGTGCTTAATTAACAACAACCTTGCATGCCCTGTGGTGGCACAAAAAATAAATTTTTTTCCAACCATTGAGTCCTCAAATTCTAGACTATATTTATGTGTTTAAACAGATTTAAAACTTACCGAAGTTGCATACTGTGTGTCATATTATTAAATTCATTTTAACACACAATGTGTAAAATTAACACAAAATATGCTTTTAATTTAATAACACATTTTTTGTGTTCTTTTTTAACATCTTTTTTAGAGTGTAATTCAGCTTACTGTCATAAATGATTTACACACTCATACTTTTTTAAAAATATATAAACATTTCTATATATCACATAATTAGTCTATTTTATTTTATGTGTGCATTAAATTTATTAATCTGGGACCTGAGTCGGAATTTGAGTCAAATGTGTTTGACAGAAAATGTTCATTGTTGTGAGCAACAAATAGAAGAAATGTTAACAATTCATCTAACATTGTTTTGAGAAATTTGTTTGAATAAATTACATTTTTTGGAAGGCAACCTCACTTTTTCATTGCATAACCTTAACATATACTAACTAGTCTTGCCCGCTTGTCAAAACAATGGTATTTACTGCTTTTTGATATAAAGAAATAACAATAAATATTATACAGAATTGAGTTCAGCCTTGGCCCGACCCTCCACAATATTTTATGTTTCTCATGGAAAAAATAATTGCCCACCCCTGATCTAGAAGGAACGGCTGGTCTTGCCAAACTGAGAGGGATGCTCAAGACTATTTGTCTTCCAACAAGATTTCGTCCAGAAAAAGGTCAGTGTTGTGCTACTGCTATGATTAGTGACCAGGGCTCAGACAGACAGAGTCACAGAGACACTAACTGAACAGAGGTCCACAGGGCTAGACAGTGCATCACTACTGCAGGCTCATTAAGTCTGAACTGCCAACAGGGATCTGTATTCTGAGGCTATAAATATATTTGCTCTTTCCAATTGAGAAGTGATATGTAAAGGGTACCACACTGTCTTCAGTCTGGTTTGCAGCCAGTCAGTTTGCAGCTCTGATATGACTCCTTGTTTTTACTTTTATTTGAAAGTAAAAACAAACACTGGTGGGGAACATGTTTCCCAACAACATGGGATCCTGGTGTTTCCCTGGTGTTCATCATGCTCCTGATTATTTAGCATCTTTCTTTGCTTTTATTCCTTGTCTTTAGCTAGTTGTCTTTCTGGGTTTATAAATACTCAGTCAGATTCTGATTAATATCAGGGCAGCTTACAGGTTTGGGACCTCAGTTGTAAAAATGTTAAAAATGTTACTAAATGGTACCAGTAAATAGCTGCTATAAGTCAAGTCAAGTGTACTTTATTGTTAAAGATTTATGTAACAGGGTTAGCACAGAAGTTTGACATTGCGTTTCACCAGTCTCCAATGTGCAGTTAAACTAAACATATAAATAAGACATTGACCGTAACCCCTCCGCACGGACACGCACACACACACCTACACACACACACACACCTACACACACACACACTGCAATACACTGTGCAATAAGAAGACAATAAGGCAATAAGAATATATAGATGGACTATAAATACACAATCACACACAGTGTAATAAGAAGACTAACATACTGATGGACAATAAATACATGAAAATACACACGCACACACACAGCAGCAGAAGTGCAATATTGTGAAAACATGGCTGTTTCAGTCCTTGGCATTTCCTGCTCTGTGCAGTGCAGACCATGTAGTCCTAATGAGCATTAAATAACACTAAATCATGTAATATTTTTATTTACAAGCAAACATACATACACATAGATATACATTTGTCTCGAAAAAATCAACCACAAACTTTATCATGTTATTGAAATGTGACTGACCAAGTTGGGTTTATTTGTATAGCAGATTTCGCAACAAGGCAGTTGAAAGTCCTTCACATGATAAAAACATAACACAGTAACCAATTCTGACCCAAGGAACAAATGTGTTTTGTTAAATGCTATCATGATGGTAGCATTTGTAAGAAAGGTAGCAATTGCTAGCAGGCTAATGGCTCCATAACAGATTTTTGCAGCGTCCAATCAAATCGATTTTTTGAATCAAAAGTTGGCCAAGAGAACTCTGTCGACCATTGCCATCTGCAGACGTCACCTGTCCGTTAAGATTAATGACATACCAGAAACACACAAGTATAAAGGTTCTGCTCTGAACTTTTTTATGTGTTGAAACACAAAGCAAACAAAAAAACAGCAATTAATTGCGCTAACTTTTTAAAGGCGTCACGAGTCACACAATGAGTAGGATTTAATTAGTAAATAAAATTAGAAACAGATTTCACTTTTTACCAATAAACAACTTTTATTGTCACAGCATTTTTTATAAGAAAAAATATGATTCTTCAGCAGCTTCATGGCCCTGATGAGCCCACTGGCATGGTGACTGTGAGAATCTGTAAGAAAAAACAGAAACAGTAAATTTTTCATACTGCAAAGCATAAAGGATAAAGCTGCATATGTTGTGAACGTAAGGAGCAAATTTTGTGGCGCAGTTGTGGAAACCAGAGAAGAGAGGGCTCTCCTTTCCACGGAGTTAGTTCTGCGTACCTGTGTGCTCTTGTTGTACTGCGCCACACTGTTGTCCTGGTCAACCAAGAACGGGTGGAAGATGTCGAGGTGGTAGAGCGACGGTCGCGCCGTCAACACCAGCCGGTCCTCTCCGACGTCCAGAACCAGAGAGCGAGATGATGACTGCATAGAGAACAGGGTCACTCGCTTGAAACAAACCCAGCCCTCTACAGAGTGAAGGTATTTTGGCATAAGATAAATTTTTCTTTTTAATATTTGATAAAATAAGTTTCTTTTAAATGCTGCATTATGTAACTTTCATATATATATATATATATATATATATATATATATATATATATATATATATATATATATATATATATATACATATATATATACACACACACACACACACACACACACACTATGGTATGATATGAGAATCTGTGAAAAACATTGAGGTTCTCTGCCCTCACCCAGTGCAACTAGATACAACCAATCAGAGCCAAGAGGCGGGTCTTAGTGTTGTCAATCACCCTCCTTGTTGTCTGCTACATTGCATCTAGCAGTCCCTGTTGTGAATGCTAAGGCTAGTTAGCATGGACACCTAATGACAGGTCTCCATGCTAACTGGACACCATGTTAGCATGTTTTCCTGGAATGGTTAGCACATTGAGCAGTGCGTACACAAGATTGATTGACAGCGATAAGACCCTCACTTGCTCTGATTGGTTGTTTTTGGCTGGGAGCGGTGCAACATGGTGACAGTTTTAATAAATATGTCAAAAATATGATGTTTTTATAAGTTACATGCTGGAGCTTTAAAGCTTTCATTTTGCTGCTGTATTAACATTTTCTAAGCACTTTTGGCATTTTTTTTTCTATTGGCAGTAAAGTAGCTAACATTTCTTTCTGGACCTGGTTTCTATTCCATGTTTCTGTGTGTGTGAGATGCAGTCAGGAGAACAGGTACCTAACCAGGATATTTTCATTGGGACCTAAACAAAGTAATGCACAAACACAAAGTGAATGGACAGAATTCATGGCTTCTGTTTTACGCTTCGGAAAGCGGCCCTGGGTTTCTACTCAGCCTCTTTGACTCAACGCTTTGATGTATTTGGATGAAGTCATATTTGACCTCAAGCCACCATCACTTTGACATCTGGAGGACATGAAGGAACAGAGACCGTTTGTTCTACTTGTACAGAAAACCCAAAAGGCTCCTAAGACCCAACGACTGGTCTTCATTAGTTGACGCTGACCCTGTTCCTCATTACCTCTTTCATTTAATGTTGCAACTCGACTGGAGAAGCTGCGGTGAAACTAACTGCTAGGTGTTTATATCAAGATGAAGCTAAAACCTCTCCATGAAACGAGATGACTGTCTGATAATCTGCCACATATTCCAACACACACCACATCTGTTGAGCCGTACCAGCTCAAGGCAGCACCGCTCTGGCTGCCAACGTCATGTGTCAAAGAAATATTCCTATTAAATCTCTTAAAGCCTGTTGTGAACAATGACTTATCACAATGATTTAAATAGATCAGTACAGACGGGTAGATAATTATGTCAACTGAAAAGACTTCTACTGTTAACACTTAATGCACAAACTGGTCTGACCTGGCTCCTTGATGCTTTCGATTGTGTTGCTTTTGTGAGGGTGTCGAATGTCGTAACTTGACACAACAAACCGTCCAGCAGGTACAGGTGAAGCAGTGCGCCTCAGGCTGAGTGTCAGCAAGAGGTTATACTACATGTAGAGTGGCAAATGACAAAAACAAGCCAAGCATGCCATGTTGTGTAATGTTTTCTTGCTCTTTAGTAATGCAAGTCTAGCAACAATAGCACTTTAATTATCGGAATCTGGCTGCAGTACCAACAGAGCATGGATGAATCATCCTCTGGAGAATCTTGTTTTAGTTTGACTGGTTGACATTTTAGGCATGGGGAAAGTCAGGACACTTCACTAATAGTCCATAAATGGCACCCAGTTTTTTTACTGCATCATAAAACAACCTTTAGCCAAGTCAACTTTTTTTATACATACTTATAAAACAGCAAGACTGACCAAAGTATCAAACACAAGAAAAACGCATAAAAACATGGAAAACATGATTGGCAATTACTTAGGGTACATTATTTAATGACTCAATCAGATTCTCCCACTGGTTTTAAAATGTTGCTTAGGTTTATTAAAACCTAATTGTGAGACGGAAGCTTGGAAACTGCAGCCCTGAGGAGGAGCTGCACCTCGAAGGCGTTTTGCCACAGGAATTAAATTATGCATGAAAGAATCAAGGCAACACTCCAGGTGTGTTTTTGATGAGGGAATAACATCATAGCATGATGAAAAGCTCAAAAAGTACATTTTACATAACACTGTCCCTTTAAATCAGCACTCTGCTGTACTGCTGTAGATTTGCTGACTTTTTTTATTTTTATTTTTTATGAAAACTACCTCGAGACGACATGTGTTGTGAATTGTGAAATTGGAACCGGTCTATCTGGTAGAATATAAACACATGAAGAAAATAAAATTGCTGTGTTTGTTTCACTCCAAGTATGCATTTGCTGTTTATTCCCCCACCACAAATGTCCTATCATAAAGTTTAAACACTAAACAAGCAGCCAGAAAGCTGACATCTACAGTGTTTTGGAACTGGCCTCGTAACCTTTCCTGGACTGATATGTCGAAATAATTACTTTGGTAAGACCACATCATCTTCCCTTCTAAGTTTTTAATTTGGTCCCTAAGGACCAAATGCACTGCTTACCACTCCAGGGAGCTTTATCTCTGCAATGAGGTACTCAGGGTGTCCAGTGGGGGGCTCCACCAACAGCGAGCATTCTGGTCTGAGCACAGAGAAGACCCACACATCCATGTCACCAACGCTATTTTAATGTAGCATAAAAGACAGAGAGAGTAAGAGCTGCCTCACCTTTTAACACATGCCGGGCCGTTTTCCCTGAGGGCAGACAGAGATTCATCCTTCATTCATCGTTTACACTATTACAGTGTAAAATGAAAGCTTTCATTGTTTTAATATGGAATTCCATTACTTCTAATTTTGCCTCATGCCAAGAACAAGCTTGAACTGCAGCCAGAGGACAAATAACAGACTTTGCACAGTGCATTAGAACGGTGTCAGATTAAAACTACTTCAGTGTGTTTCACTAAGATTTCACATGACAAAAAAAGTACATCAGAATTCAGAAACGGAGGGTGAAATATGTCGATAGAAAAAGCAGGACGGTGCACCGAATGCAGCTTTCTGGCCGATCACCATTCCCACGTTGGCCGATACTAATTTTTATTTATTTATCTTTATTTAAAAAGTTGCTAAAATGGCAACAGTGAGGCTAAGTCTTTTGCAATAAACCAATTAATGACATAAATTAAAACAAGCTCAACAGTTTCCATTGGCATGATGGCTTGTTTTGCTCATGTCTCTCTGTTTCTACCAAAAACTGGATGACAAAAATCTCCAGGCTTTTCAGAACTTTAGTTGGAATAAATAAGGCACATCATGCATCCTTTCACTCCGCTGTATGTTGGTTTCTCTCTCGCTTAATCCTGATAAAATACACTGAAGTTTAAGGTTGTGATTCGAACAAGTTAAAGTCACAGGGAAACGTTTTAACCGTTCAGCGTTGAAACGAAGCGACTTACTGAGGCTGCAGTTCCTGGATCACCGGCCTGCTCTTCATCCGGATGTTCTGCTCACTGACGGAGCCAAGGAATTTTCTGTTCTTCAGCACTTTCCAGTCTGCACAAACACATCCCAAACCTTGTCTTGATGTGGTCCAACATTGTCAGAGAGACAAACACGAGTTCAGACTCACCTCTGTTTAGCTCCAGGCTGTATTTATTCTCCAGGCCCTCCACAGACACCAAGATAACAAACTGCTGGAACAGAGGATCCTTCTGCGAGACACCGTCACACACACACCACATCCTTTACTACGCTATACAGCACCAAACATGGTAAGCATGCCATCTGACAAGTGACCTGGCTCTTCTGGAAGAAGTCCTGGTTGATGACGACGTCATAGGCTGTGCAACCCTGAGAGTCTGAAAGACAGCAGCAGATAGGTGGCGCTATAATGGAACGCAGCTGTTCAGATTTCATCTAAGTCCAGGGTTTCCTCCACATGTAGCTGATTGATTCAGAATGAAGTTTTTGTTTCTTTTTAGCCTACATTTGCGCACTTACGCTAACTCTAGTCAATATTAAAAATGAATTTAAATATTGAACGTTAAATTTTACTGTATTTTTGAAAAACCAAACACCGCCGGCTACGGCCTGTGAAGCTGGCTACTACGCGCTGTGCCACTTTCGGGAGTGAAGCCGAACCAGAGACGACAGTCAAAAGTCGAGGAAGAGAAAAGGCGAAAGAAAAGGAAGGATAAGCTGAATGCATTTTTAGTTCAACTCGTGTCAAAACTATCTTAATGTTAACATGTGTTGCATTTGAACAACAGCAGATAATAAATGCCATTTGGCCTTAACGCAGAATTTTTTTCAGACCTTGAACAGCACTGTAATTTTCCCGTAGTGACTCGTTTCTGGTAGCGCTTTCAGATGAATATATTACTCATTTATGTTATATATTATAAGAGGAAGGGAACCCGAGGAAGATGTTGAGGTAATACTAGAAATCCTCCCTCCAGTTCTCAGGAATATAGAAATGATGGTGATCTCATGTGTGTAATATTTAAATGTTCCCAACGCTTCCTGCATGACATTAGCAGTTGAAACAAATCGAAAGTCAGTCAGAAGTAGCTCAGTTTCTCTCAATTCTCAAACATAATTGCTTTCATCTGTTTTTGAAGATATCCAGAAAAATACAATGCAGGCTGCCAACTGACCAATTAGATTACTGCAACAGAGTTGTAATTTCAATTGCACAGGGTGAACATAGTGAACAAATCTGTAAAACAAAAACATCCAGTTTGAAATGGTCATAATTAAAACCATGTTCCTGTTCTAAACCAATAAAGAAAAAAGTCAGCTCAGAATGTCAAATACTGTAGAATTATTTTGACTAACCAAACCTTTTGACCAAATTACAGATCACATCACAACCTCCACATTTCCGTCATCTTAAGAAACCTGCAGGCTTTGGCCTCTGCTACATACTGTTGTCAGTTTCTGCATGCGGCTCTCCCAGGCTCATCGGAACTCTGTAGCCGCTGGGATCCTCCGACTGGAGCAGCTGCACGAGCTCCTCTCTGGAGAGATCAGGGGGCGGCGGGACAGAGGTCGACTGGCAGATGTTTATGAAAACCTTCTGCTTGCCTGGCTCCGAGAACGTCTTCACACACAGACCTGGGTGGAGGAAAGAGCGGAGATGTAGAGAAAAAAAGTACTAAAAAGGAGAAAGTGAAAGAAAACTATAAAGTCTACCAGGTTTGGATTAATAAAAAAATATATATCATAGAGATGTTTCATGTGTGAGGGATCGGGGAAAGTCTAATTAGGTGAAAATATTACCATTACGAAATAGCACGTTGCTCTCTTCCAGTTTACACCCAATAAGGCTTAACGTGATTCAAGATACAAGTCATGAAAACCTAAACCCTCCCAAAGACATAAGAACTGCAGACCCACAGATATCTTCAGTAATCACGTACAAGCAATGTTCTACCGTTTATCGACTTCCAACAACAACATTGTTGAGAGACTTTGGGACACTCTGGGTGTTTTTCCGCCCTGATAGTCCAGTAGACTCGGTTTGATTGTGGACCAAAATTGCCACATTTGTTCCGTCTTCAGCTGGAACGGTTCGATTCCACACTGCACTGTGTCAACCCAGTTAAAAAATAAACCTGCTACCTAATTTCTCAGTTTGTTAATCTTTTCAGTTCATCCCCATCTACTAGGCATATAAAAGAGGCCTGGGCTTCTGATCTACTTGGTGAGATTTCGGATGAGCAATGGGATTTGTCTCTTTCAAGAATCAAGACCTGCTCCATTAACTCTAGACTGCAACTTATTCAATTCAAAGTTATCCATCGGCTGCACTTTTCTAAAACTAAACTCAATAGGCTATTCCCCTGCGTCTCACCAAAATGCGACAAATGTAAATTAGATGATGGGACTCTGGGTCACATGTTTTGCTCCTGTCCTAAACTAATGGACTTCTGGAGCAAGATTTTTGAATTTTATAGCAATGCTTATGGCAAGCCTCTATGTCCGGATAGGCATTTGATCATTTTGGGTTGCTCTAAATCCTCTCTTGCTCTTCCCATGTCCCTACAACAGTCTCTAATGTTTGGTTTAGTGGTAGCAAAGCGGGTTATTCTACGGGAATGGAAATCCTCTACCCCGCCTTGTTTTAAGAAATGGCTTAATGATATGGTGTCCTGTATCTATCTTGAGGAGATTCGATACTCTTTGTCTGACAATCATCAAAAGTTCCTGGATGTGTGGGGTCCTTTCAATAGATACATACAAAATAATAGGCTAAAATAACTGTCGTTTACATCTGGACCTGTATTTTCTAATAATTTATTTTACTCATTTACCGTTTCGTCATGTTTATTGTGATTATAACTTGTGTTCATCTTTTCTTGTTATTCCATATTCCATGGTGGGCTGTTTGTTTCAATGTCCTCAGAAATGTCTCTTACTCGCTTGGACTCTGTCTCATGCTCGATAACACTCTAGAATCTGATGTGCATTTTATCCTCTTATCAGACCCTTTGTTAGCTGACAGTGTTTTGATTGTTCTGTTCTGTGGATTTTTGTTTTGATGATTCTGGTTAGTTTTTTTTTTTTTTTTTTTGTTTTTTTTATCCTTGATGTTTCGTCCTCTAATTTGCCTGTTTATTCTTGAAAATCATAAATAAATATAAAAAAATAAATAAATAAATAAATAAAATAATAATAATAATAAACCTGCTCACCCCCTCGTCTGTGGGGGCGCTGCACCACGAACCACTGAAGGACTCAACAGGGGAACCTTTGAATCAATTGAGAGCAACTTTCATCTTCACAAAATGTAAACAAAAATGGCGTGGCATCAGATTTTAGTGATTGTAGGATTTCCCTTCTGTCTTTGGCAAAAGACAACAAGTCGTTCCTTCAGTTACCAAGTTTGTTTTGGTTGTATCTATACACATGTATATGATGTAGTCCACTTCCTGTTTTTGGAGAGGTCTACTGTCATGCATAACTTAAACAGAACAGAAACCCAGGTTTATAGGCAAACCGATGTTCGCCTTTTTGGTCCACATCAGAGTTCATTTATGAAATTATCACACCTGGCTCAAAGGGGATGACAAAAATGGGAGGGAGACGAGTGGGTCTATACAAACAACAATTTATTTATACAAAAATATGGCTCTGGGATATATGGTTCAAAATAGGGTTCAGTTAGGGGGCCAACCTATCTGCCTGCTTCCTGAAAAGAAGAAGAAAAAAAGAGACACCTAGTGGATGGGAGGGGATCGTCACAGCATTCACACCTCCGTAGACAGACCAGACCTTCTAAAGAAAGTAGAGTTTGAGTATGAAACTCTTCTTGAGTCTGGGAATGAACAGGGCTGGTGTGAATGCAACCTAAATTACACTACTTTGTTTATTTCTTTTTGTTCTTTAGGCTTCCACTGCAGCATTTCATCAGTTTAAGGTGTGAACTTTAGCTGGAGAAGTCCGGCACACATTTCTTTCTGTTTCACATATTTCAATCTTGATTATTTTTGTTCTTTTGGACGACCCAGGATTTAAATGATGGATAGAATTTCTTAAATAAAACATTACGATTCTAGAATTTCCACCTTTCCACCTCCATTCTTGACGACAGGGATTTCAGTATTGCTTGCTCTGCTTTGTGCCACACCCGGCATGATCCCGTAATCCTAATGTCTGTTCAGGCCCTGGTGATATGAAGCACCTGGTTGACACTTACCTTTATGTTTCAAAATGCTTACCTGGTTGAGGCCGGATTAGTGTGGAATCTGGAGATTCCGACTGCAGCTTTCCCATCGTCTACAAAAACAACAGTTATTTTATTATCTGTGTTTGGACAAGTTATACATTCTTTTCTTTTGCTCCCTTCTCCAACTGCATGCGCTATCACATGTTGTTTCTCAGAGCGATAAACTGCATTCAATATTTTGTTCTGGTTGTGAATTGAGGTTTATAACCTTGTACATAAAATGGCAGAGAATTTCTTCTGAATGCCTGTGTGCAGAACATCCATGGTATGTAAATGTTGTGCTTGTAAATCAGAATGTGTAGTTGTAAATAAATTTAGCCACTATTTAAATCAAAATGTTAGATAAATTCCACCTTTGTGCATCCAAAGACAAGAATTTGACTGACTAAATTTTCAGATTTTGTCTGGAAAAAAAAGAGTAAATAAATAAATTGGCATGTATAGATCAGGAAATTCATGAAAAAAAAAAAAATCTATATAATTTCAGAATGACACGTTGAGATTTCCCAGACTCACACCAGCCTCAGCCTGAATGGATTTTGCTTGACATTCTATAAGGCTGTGGTATGAAATGGTGTTGCTGGTGTAACTTTTCATACCAGAATTTTTCCTTCCACTCAAACTTCAATGAATAAGTGTAAACAACCTTAGTCTTTAGCGATGACCTTTAGTCACTAACCCTCCTAGTGGAGGTTGATCATAACCGTCCAGTCAGCAGTTAATTCAAAATATTCTCACTTTCTGAGACACTGATTTTTGAGTTTTCATTACCTGGAAGTCACAAATAAAGGCTCGACATATTTCACTCTCTATGTAATCAATAATTAAAACATGAATTTCAGATTCTGAAATGAAAATTTTCCACAATACTCTAATTTATGAGATCTACCTGTACAATATATGTTCTACTTTGTCTTACTCTCTTATAAAATCCTGATGAAATACCTTGAGATCTACCATTGAAACATCAAAATATATGACAATTTCACAATTCTTGCACTGTGAATAGTAACAGCAAACCAGATGTGATAAAGTAAGGGAAGGATGATGACCTGCAGCAGCATCTGCTGGTAGAGTTCCTCTTGTTGCTGTAACTCCAGCTCAGAGTTGAGAAGTGATGAGTCAGTCATCCTCAGTTTGAGCTCAACGCTGCCAAAATGAAAATACAAAGATGATCAATTCTTCACATATCATTCTTCACCCATCCGGCTATAGCAGTTAAGGCTGTCATAAATGTGAAAGCTTAATAAATACTTGACATTAAGAATTGTTTCACATTAAAGGGAGCTGCCATTAAGGCAGAAAAATCTGGGAGCATCATATTTGAAGACTTTGCTGTGTCAAGCTGTATTCATTATGACAACTTTTTTTTTTTAATTTACTCAGCATTAAAGAATATAATTACAGTAGTGAAGTGAGATGAGCATCATATCCATGCTGGGCTTAAGATAATGCTAGCATAAGGACACAAAGACTCACTTATAAGATGTTGATGACAATTCTCCCACATCTCCACCTTCACCAGTCCTGATACTTACTAACCGTTTGTTCTCATCTGAACATCTGCACTCTAGTCATCTGGGCGGTCTGATAAAAAGTGTGTTGCTCTAAATATGCACAAAAACCCAAAATGTTTGAAGCACATTAAAATCCAATCTGTCAAACCTCATTAAAAGAAGGTGCCAGACAATCGAGAATCTACTTGTCAAGTTATATAAGGTCAAGGTACACCAAGGTTTTACAAAAATGATGGCATCAAAACTGCCATAATCTCACTAATGAGATTAAGCAACAGTAAGAACGGCAGAGTGTTCTTACTCAGGGTTTTCAAACCATTGAGAGTTCATGCCTGCCTTTCGAGCCACACTGGGCCGTGAGACAGAAAGTGAAGTTTGGTTACTCGAAAACAAAAAAACAGCTTAGTCACTGGCTGACATTTTGCAACCAAGTGACTTTTTAAAAAATTTTATTTCCCAAACTCCCTTGATCTCAAGTACAGTTAGGTACAGATACATTTTCTCACATTTCGGGATAAATCAGAAACTGTTCGCATGATTATTTCTGTCATCTGTCACAGTGCGTAATACTTGCAAAAATACAAGACGACGTATCGGCAATTAAGTTCTACGAAAGCTGAGGTTCTTTTTAGGCAACTATTAGTGCGACACATGCACTTGATGTACACAAAGTCATACACAGACAGTTCAGAGTTTTTTTTTTTCTTCTGTCTAATCACCTCTGGCAGTTCAAAGACTCATCCTCTCCAGACTAAACGTAAATCTGAACTCACGGTGCCAGACGTTGTTCATTTCCTCAGAAGCCTCTTGATCTTTTGTCTCACATTATGTCACCTCTCAGATTGTGCTGTTGTGTTGCACAAAGAAGTTTTAGTCTGCTAGCAAAACTCCGAGACACTTACTGCAAACATCTACTCTCCTTAATGTGCCAGGGAAAGCATGCAAAGTGCTAATTTATACATTGATACGAAATGGGAATTGCTTCCAAACAGCCTAGCTCATATTTGTGGTGAAGACCAACTTCTGACAACCTGACACCCGATGTTCTGAGCCACGCCACAGCTTAAAGGTGGAAGTGTGGAGCAGAAAAAGAATGTCATATAAGTACAAGGTGTGGGTGAAAGGCAGGGTTCTTGCTCAATGTATTGTTGTTTTGCAGATTCATGGTCCCCTCACTGCAGCCTGGGTAACTGAGAGATCTGAGGTTGTGTGTACTCATTCTCACCCTAGCACGTATGAGTGCACACACTCGGATACACACCAAAAATATATAAACTTCAATAGTGTCGCAACTTTCCCTCAGCCTGCCTCCATCCCTCTCTCCTTTCTTTCCAGAGCAGATGTGCAGGACTATCACTCAGTCTGCTCTTATTTCCTCTGATTCTTCTGATCCTCATTATTTCATTCCAGCAGCTTTGACAGTATGCTAAAGATGAGATCCACAACATGAAGCCAAAGTGAAAACACAATGAATTCCTCATATAAACCCATCCAGCAATAGTTGTTAAGAATGTCACAAGTGTGGCATATTTTACAATGAGTTATTTAACATTAGGTTTTCTATTTGAATAGTATAACTTAATAGGAACATGAGCAAACAGCATATTAGGGATTTAAAAAGCATTTAAAAAGTTTTTTTTTCTTTGAAAGGAATAACAGAGGAATAGATACACCAAACACAGACATTAGCTTATTAGTGACCATTATAATTTTATATTTAAAAAGTAATATTTAATGTAACCACGAACTTGTATTGGATCAAGACTCTTCACAAACAAATTATTATTATTATTATTATTATTATTATTATTATTATTATTATTATTAACAATCACGTAACAAGTTTACATGTGCAAAACTGTTATAACGTAATGAAAAAGACACAGTTGCAAATTAGCCTAGCTTGAGCTTGTTAGCCCACGAGACGAACAACTTCCGGTTGTCTTTGGCAACTGCTGAACTTTCTACAGTGTATTCTTTGCTTCTTTAATATTTTAACACGTCTTGACATGCTTAAATAAATCTGTGCTTACTGTTTCAAATGGTCCGGCAAGCAACAGAAGGCACGCTGTGTTATCTTCCTTGTAGCAACAACCTTTTCCGCCTCGAGCATTTCAGAATAAAAGCATTCAAAACATGTCCAGAAGCGCAATGAAACCGCAAGTTCGCGGTAAAACATGTCACTCACACAGAGGCAGCAGGGGGAACACAAACACTTAACACCTCCAGCACAACACCTCCGCTGTGTTAATTTGTAAAAACAGCAGTTGTAGACACTCGCTCCCCATTTTTTTTCTCCGCGGCTTCTTGGAAGAAGAAAAGACAGAAGCTTTTTTCCCCCTCTGAATATAGAGCGAGTTAAAATATTCAAACCCTTGGTGTGGAGTTTGACTTGGCCATTCAATCTTACACATATATACTTAGACATATAATTTACTTTGACGTACAGGATACCATTAAGCTCTGACTACTATATATTTAGAATTTTTTGTCCTGTTGGAATGTGAATCTCCCTCAGACTTACAGACTGTAACAGGTTTTTTTTCCAAGACTGTAATTAATTCCCTTAAGAATTCCTGTTTACTCCAAACCTTTCTAGTAAAGTCATGCAAATTACAGCTTGATAAGGTTAAAGTTCTAAACTGAAAAAACAAACAGACTGATAAAAAAAAAAAAATGCCAACAAGGACAGCCTAATTTCGGAGTAAATTTTATGCTTCCATCAAAAATATTGCCAAGACAGTAACAGAGCAGTAAAGAGGAAGAAATTTAAGATGTCAGCTCTGAGCCGCAGGATCCGATTGGCTGTCCGTCAAGACACGGGACGATCCTCTACCCAAATTAAGGCCATTACTGGTGCTGACTGCAGCCCAATAACCATCAGACGGCATCTGCGAGAGAAGGGCTTCAGAAACAAAAAACGTCTTCAAAGGCCACGTCTTCTTCAAC